CAAACAAAGTCAATTTTATTTTTAAAGTAGAAGGATTCATTAGTAAATAATTATATAGCACAACTCAATTAATCATTTAAATACATTAAAGCATAATATTAGTGAAATCTGCGATAAAAATTAATTAAATTACGTAAGAAAGAGATACATTACAGAAACCAAAAGAGAAAACTGTTGCACTTTTAAAAATATATTATATTGAACTTTTAAAATTGTTTTCTTTTAAATTAAATATTAAGTTTTTTTTTTGAAATGTAACATTTAGTAACATTATGTATGTTTACTTAAAAAAAAACATAGGATACAAATTAAAACTTAGAAGTTTAGAAAACTGAATCATTGGTCCATGTACCATTAATGTCTTTTTGAAACATAGTGCCACTTTTAACATATTGACTTTTATAAATTAATATAATTTTCCACAATTTTACACCACACATCACCTCTAAGAATTGGGAGCCAATTTCTCATCAAAAGAGCCACATGCGGCTCCGGGCTGCTATATGGTAAATCGCAAAGAAATCTCAAAATAAGATTAAAGTCTATGCTCTATTTTATAGCTACAACCTTAATTGCCAGCAATAAGATGTGAGTAATATCTCCAAGTAAAATAATTATGCAACTAGAAAATTATCAATCACTTACTGAAAGTTAAAGACAAAAAAATTGTAAGTAAATTTGGAACAACACAAAAAAAAATATTGTAATGAACATAACTAATTCAGAACTGTTATAAAAATAATTTAAAAATTATAAAATATCACGTATATTAGTACTAAATATTCAATATTTGAAATAGAAAGACAAAATTCGATGGTCATATGACTAAATGTATATCTATCATTTAAATTCTTATTGAATTGTTGTATTTTTATTTACATTTTTTGAGTAATAATTTAAGATAATTTATTTCAGTTGTTTCTTTCTTTTCAAGTTTTATTGTTTTTAATGTAAATTATTATTATCTATTTAATTCTTTTATTTTTTACTATTTTTATACAACAAAATTTTAATATTTTTATTTTTCAAACTTAACAAATTTTCTCTTAGCTCTCTTAGTTTTTGTTGTAGTAATTTTTAAAGAATTTGTAGAACCAACAGAGATTGTACTGTAAAACACACAAAAGTGAAGTGAATGCATTGGACCTGGATTCCTTTGAAACTGATGTGTAAATGATCTTCTTGAAAAACTCGAGAATGAAGACCAAGAGCAAGAGAAAGCCAAAGAATAAGATACTGCAACAGATACTCTTCTCTTGTTCGTTCTTTCACTCTTCAACATCTCGAGAAAGCATAACAATACATAGAATAAGGCATTTAATAATTTCCAGTCGCAAATATTACGATCTTTGAAATAACAACAGTTTATTGTATAATAGTATTTTTTTTAATAGAAAAAAATGTATTTAAACAAAATCAAATATAAGATTTTCTTGAAACCTAAACACTATCACTGATTTTTCACAGAAACTGTTGTTGAATAGTTTTAAATAACTGTTATTGTATTACTAAAACCTGCAATTTTTATTTCATTTGTATTTATTATACGTAAACAATGTAATTATTGTGTATTTAAAATTCATAAGATTATCAATGGGAAAAATATAATTGTTAAGAAGTGTAGA